GTCCCCTTTCAACTTTCAGAGGTAGTTGAAAACGCATTAGACCGGATTGCTTTCAATGTAGATGCTCATGTGGTTGAATGTGTTACTTACTGACTTAATTTGTAAACATTATAGGAAGCTTGCTAGCCAGACAGGATTTAAACTTTGTTGGCTGGAGACCCAAGTTTAGTTTGAACCAAGCACAATGTTCTCTCACCATTCCTGATTTCCAACACGCACTTACAGTGTTCGGTGTGGTCTTGCGGCTATCAGAGCAGAATTGAAAGCTGATGCTTTCCGTATGTTTTTCCGTTGTCTCCTGGCACGTTCATATGGAAACTGTGCGGGTTTATTTTGTCCATTAGATCGAAAGATCTGAAAAAACCCATACATTTACCCGCCCATCGACCCTCCCTTCAAAGAAATCATGACAGAACTGTCTGAAAGTGGACAAAAGAGACGTATTAAAACACTAGGTGTAAACAGGAATGTGTCTCCCTTGTCTACTTGTGATCCAATCGACCAAAACGATACCTTCGACCTAAATGACCTTCCGCTGTCTCGCACTTCGAGCCGGACCAGTTTAAACTCAGTCTGGCTGTAGCACGAGTCATAAGTTTTACCAGCTCATCGTATTCAGCAGTTTGCTGTGTTGAGCAAGAAACAGATCTTTTAAATATATCCATTTCTACTGACACCACATCTATTATATAGGACCCTCTTGAAAATGAGATGATGCTTCTCAAGAGGCTATCCTTTAATAAATTCAATTCAATATCAGAATCACAGACAAGCAATGAGTCCTCACTTTCCACGGAAGAAACCGCTGAGAGGGCTTTCGCTTCTGGCTCAAAGTCAATGGAGCCAGCAGGAGAGGAGAGGGGAACTCCCTCACATTCCTCTACTAGTTCCGTCTGAGAGTCCCTTGGTCGTAGCCTGCGAGCTGCCTCAGCAAACGTGGAGCTAGAGCCGTTCACTGCAAACGGGGGCACAGGAACACAGCGCTTGTGTTGTCTTCTTGCCATTATTCTGCTTACCTTCTATCCTTTCTTCACACACTGCTATCTTCACACAGCACTCAAACAAGCGGCTTCCTGAAGACAAAGAAGCTGATGATGTGTTCTCAGGAACCCTTCTTATACACTGGGGCGCACCTTGCGACATCCTCGCACTGCATCGACCATTTTGTGAACCCCCACCACCCCACCCTCATCCTCTGGGGAAGAAATTATTTTTTTGTTTCATGAACTGTGCTGTACTGGCTGACCGAGTCCTCCATCTGTCAGTCTTTTAGCATTAGCCTACGTATAAATCTGATGTGTGTGCGAGTCAGTGTGGCGAGTGTGGCTGGCGGAAGTCCTGTGTGAGAGTGCATCCAACAATGGAAGTGTGAAGGATTAGAGCTCATAGCAGCATGTAAGGGAAGTCTTCTCTGCCTGCAGCAACCATCCGTCAGGGTTCGGGGGCTGTGGGGATGACAATGCCGGAATTTTTCACAACACCTGACACTGCTATTAATAAGGCAATGATCCTCATAGCCACACTCATACTCACTTCAGCACTCCCTCATCATTCACTCACTCTAACCGATCCAAGTGCTGAACGCACCACTCTAATCAGCAATTAATGAAATGATGGTACCTGTGTACCAGGTCTAATCGCATATCAAGTATTGGCAGACTGAAAATCCCTATTGTAGTATTTGTTTTGAATAAACAGATATCATGCAACATTGAACTGCACATCTGTGTCCATCAACCTTGTGAAGATCAATGAGCTCTTTTCGACCTGCACAAGGTGTTTTGGTCACAGCTAGTAGAGCTTTGTGCTTGTAATGGGGAAAATCCAAGGTCATGGGTTTGCTGTTGTACCTACTGGAAATTAAATGAAGTGGCTAGATGGGCAAGTGAATTGTTTTAAATGCTTTACAACTACTTGGACCACAAAAGACCCAAAGTTCCATAATGTGATCTCGCCCGACACTTCGCATTTATAGGTGTATATATCCTGAACACTGGCGTTTTGGGGCTTTAGTACCTACAGACATTTCAAGCTGCTTCTCAGTTATGCTCTTCCAGAGGAGAGTACATATCAGACTGCCTGTGGTCTAACCTATTTGAGTAGAATCTGCCAGGCACCATACGTTACCTTTACGACTTCCGTCCAGGCAGCAGCAGTCTGGACAAACATTACCTTAACACTCCTCCCCAACATGACCCCAAACTCACATCCATTTTTCTATCCTCACAATCGCCCCCCAAATCTTACCGTCAGACCATGAGCGTGTGCAAAAAGCGTGTGCATATATGTGTGTATTAGTGTGGGACACCCAGTATGAATGGCGGGAGAATACTAAGTGGGATCTGATTGAAAACGCAATGCTTGAACAATAAAAGGTAATGCTCCGGCCTTCAAGTCCCACCTTCATCCATCCGACGCATTCTCGTTTCATCAAAGCCTTCCTAGCAACTATATGTTGATTCAAATGCATTCCCCGCCAGCCTTGCTCTCTCCCCCCACGCTGTTGTTCAGTGATGCTTTAGCACATGTTTATTCACTTGTTTTTATGGACCGAAACAAGTCGTTATCATCCTCCTTTCAATTACCCGAGCCCTGCTGGTAAAATGACCTCTTGAAGCGCTTTGTTGTTCAATAGTCCATTCTAGAGCTGAGTGATACATTCCCAGAGGCCTGTCTAATGGCCGTAAAGGTAGTATCCAAAACGATGTTAAAAATATATCCATAAGGGAAGCTCGAAGGGGCTATTTGAGTAGGTCGTTGATGGCTGTGGTAAAGTAGTTTAACCTTGTATATCATTCTCTTGATTTTAGTCATAATGAGTCCGGCCCTCCTTTATCTTTAAAGGTGTTCGGTTTCTTAGGGTGAGACGTATGGTTGGCAGTGTATATATATATATACATAGGTCCTAATGTTTTTTATTTTTTGGTTAATCACATGACTTATGATATTTCAATAAGTAGAGTAGTTGTTTTGTTATTTTGTAATTGTAATAAATAATGCCAAACTACTTATCCTTACTGATCCAACTGATATAAGTAACCCCCCTTTTTTTAATAAAACAATAATATATTATGAAAAAAAACTATTTCATTTTATTATGAAACATGCCCATCATAGAAGAGGTGTGTTTAAGTAATTGTATGTATGAACTGCGTTTTATTTTATTTTCGAATAAATGCATACAAAAAAAGCATCACATCATTACCCCAAATACAAATAGTACTTGAATTATGCAGTGCCAACCTTTGCCAGGGTGGACTGAGCTCATGATTGGGGGACGTTGTCATCATTTATAACTTGTTCACCTTTTCCCCAAGGTATCCTATGTGTGTTCAGATATTCATTAAGAATAATGGACACATTTTGGAAGAGTTGGGGACAAAGAAGCATTCAGCTTTTGCCAAAGTAATGAAACCGTATGACAGTTTAAGATATTCTTCCAGCCTTTAGCAGTAAATGTTACACTGTCGACCTCCAGGTAACTTATGAGAAGATTTCCTCTGGTTTCCTCCTTCCATGCCAGCAGATCCCTTGTGCTGTTGTAAATATATAGCGCTGCTGTTAGTTGCCATACTCAATATGTTTTCCATGAGCAAACTCAGGCACTTTCCGATTATTTTTTTTTGAGGGGATGGACATTTTCTTCAGTTCAGTCAATGGGAGCTATTGTGCGCTCGTGTCACCCTGTGTTAATTTGGGCTCTAATGTATTTGATAAACAAAGGGGCGCTCTTTAGCCTGACAGTCGTGACACCCTGATTCTTGCGTGGGCGCCGTGTGGCGCAGGGTTACGCCGTTAATAACCCACTGGCAGCCATCAAAGGCGCTTTAACCATGATCATTATGATAAAGGGCATACACTTAATTACAGGCCTGCTTAATTATAGCTCTGTTGAAGCTCGTTTGTTTGGTAGAATGCTAATTATACCACCGCACTCTTGGCAAGTCCTCTTTCAATCCACCTCTCTCTTTCTTTCCCGCTCTCGCTTTCTCTCCGAGAGCCGAACACTCTGGCTCATTTTCATGCAAATTGATATCCGGCGAATGTTTTGTCTCTCTCTTTCCCCTTTTTCTTTCGACGTGTGCGAGTGGGGCTTTGTTTTTGGAGTCGAACGTCTCCCTGACAAGACAGGATCAGGAATAATCAAGAGTAATTAACAGGGAAAGAGGGAGGAGAGCGAGTGTGTGTGTGTGTGTGAGGGGGGGGGGGGGGGGGCACTCAAATACAGTGGAGGATAAAAAAAGGCTTTCATCTCGCTTTGTCTGAGCGAGTTTCCGAAGGGATTCGGGAACTTTCCGTCTTCTGCTATTTGCGGCCATTAGATTAAGTCAAATGCATTTTTCAGAACATAGAAAACAGTACAGAATATTGCTGGTGTTTGTTTGGAATATTACTTGTTTGGTTTTATTTTTATTATTGTTATTTTGAATTTTATTACAGTACTCTCTAATTTGTCCATAGTGGAGTTACCCAGAGAGCAACATGGTGTCGGCCCAGATGTGGGCCGGATCTGGGCCGACACTATGTTGTTGTCTGGGTAAAGTGTGTATATGACCATTGTCCCTGGCAAACAATTCCCTGCACTGTACTAGTTTCATGTCTCTCTTTCATGTCTCTACAATCTTTTTCTTCTCTGATAAAATAATTATTAAAATAATAAGCTGTTTGGCTGGTCTTAGCTGGTATTCCAGCCAGGTCATATCTGGTTTAGCAGGCTGGTTTGGTACGGCTGGTCTTATCTGGTCAGCTTAGGCTGGTTTTAGCTGGGGGGGGGGGGTTCTGCAGGGATGTCTAGTTAATTTTTGTTTTTGATGCAATAAGTTGCAGTTGTCCAGTCCAGGTTTGGTTTTTCAGTAATAACCACTTCATTATCACTTATCTCTTTAGATTCTGCAGGGATGTCTAGTTAATTTTTGTTTTTGATGCAATAAGTTGCAGTTGTCCAGTCCAGGTTTGGTTTTTCAGTAATAACCACTTCATTATCACTTATCTCTTTCCAGCTATGGATGATATACCCTTTATGATCTCCAAAAAATCTACCTCCACAACCAGAGATGAAGTAAGTTTTTTAAAAGGAAAATAATAATCATCATTTTTTTAACAAATTTCCAAAAACCCTTTCCCAGACTTTCATTGGTTGGACAGAGACAGATAGGTTGAGCTTCATTGGTTGAGCCAGTCTTGCGATGTTGGGCTGGTCCCGATGCTCAAACAAATCTGTCGCTATGCTACTTACGCAACCAAACTTTTGCTAGACCCCCCATCCCACCCAGATGCTGCCCAACCCTGAAACGGATCTGCAGCTGTTGAATACACGCAGACAGACAGAGCTGGCTCACGGAGGGCCATTTGGCCCCTGTCACAAGAGCTCTGCTCTTATTGTCAGAGAGAGAATGAGAGCGAGAGGATTAAAGATCTTAATCATGCTTACTTAACCATGAGCGCCACCATAATGTTTCCTCATATGTTATTTTATTTATTTATTTTTTCAGATAGAGCCAGTCCATTTCTTGAGCATTGCCATCAAATCACCACAAGAGATTGAGGAGGAAGTAAGTTCAAATATGCTCAGGTAGACTGCGGTGCTCATACTGTATTATACACATGCGCATATTGTTTTATATTGTATTACATTTGTGTTGTAACGCTTTTCTGTATGTGCTCTCAGTCATTGTTGCAATTATCAGCGTCCAACATACTAAGCAGACAAGATTTTTGACTGTACATGGATATTTATTTTATTATTATTATTACATTTTAGGTATGTGGTGTAAGTCAGCTTAAAAAATGATAAATTATAAGTATTATTTCCTGTTGACGTGGAGTAAGCGAGCTCCAAACATCGCATGATAATTTTGAGAGCGTATAGGCAGCTGCAATGAAGTGACAAATAAGTATGATTATTATTGTAAAAAAAAAATTGTAATATTAATGATTATAGTTACAGCAATAATGCAATAAGAATGTAGTGCAAGGAGGCAGTAGTGCAAGCCACTTTATAGACAGTTCAAAGAAAATGAACTTGGTGATATGCGAGACTGATAATGGCTTTCATTTCATTACAAGTCATTACAGAATATCTAGAATAAATTATGTGAAAACAACAGGATTTTGTTTTAAATGGCAGTTTCTCTTTGTTTAGTTATACATATTTACTATCGCATTGACCCCCCCCCTCCCCATCAACACTCTCCATGGCGAAGCAGGCTGTGATTAGAAGCAGCAGACCCACACGAGGAGGGGGGATTCATTAATTACAGCAGATGAAGTAAAGCAGAGATAGTGTAACAGCACTGGGTTTAGTGAGGTGCGCGACAGCACAAGATTAATGGAGAAGCGAGGGCTGACGGCGACTGCCCTGATAATTAGAATCAGTGTGAGAGCATCCATAGCTATTGTTCTTCAGCCGCATCTTCGACCTGGAACGCAGTTTCCCTGCCACCCTGTCAAAACTGCAAGCCGGGATGCTCTTGCTCTGAATCAGTCACTGTTGGTCGTATATTGCTTGTGTATGACCCTGTGACATAAAAAAATAAAAATAAAATTTAAATAAAATTGAAAAATCGGAAATATATTATTATTATTGTTCTTACACAGTTATATAACATTTTATGCTCATGCTTAAATGCATGCAATATATATATATATATATATATATATATATATACACACTGTACACACACACACAAATTTATATATTTTATACCATATATATATATATATATATATATATATATATACACACACACACACACACACAAATGTATATATTTTATACTATATATTTATATATATAATAAAATACTATACATTTGTGTGTATGTATTTGTGTATAATATTATATTTTAGGTAATTCTCCTATTGATTTCTTCTTTGGTATGTGGTGTAAGTCAGCTTAAAAAATTATAGATTATAAATATTATCAGTAATTATTATTACATATTTAAATGAAAATATTTAGGTAATTTTCCTATTGATTTCCTGTTGATGTGGTGTAAGTGAGCACCAAAAGTCACATGGTTATTTGTGTGTGTGTGTGTGATACATCATACGAAATCTTTCTATTTATTTCCTCTTCAGTATGTGGTGTAATTGAGCTCCAAAAATAAAGATAATTATGTTAATAATTGGTTATAGAATAGGCAGCTGCAATGAAGTGACAAAAAAAGTTTTATTTTTGGTATTTGTATTTTTTACGTTATAGTTCTGTGCCAGTACTGATCTATTACTAAAAAATATATATATGGTAATGTAATTATTTTGTAGTGCTATTTTTTTATCACATATTGTAATTGTCATTAATGCAGTAATTCTTTTTTGAAATAAGTAATGAGCATAACATGGATTCTGTCATGTAAAGTGTTGCAAAAGTTTTAAGTGAGCGTATAATATAAATCAGTTGCATTTATAGACCAGGAGCTGAATGCATATTTCCAGTAGGAATCTGCACGTATTCCTTCATTAGTCTCTGGATGATAACTTCTCTGCTCGGGGCCTTGATGCACATCGTAATTGACTGATTGCTAATTCTATTAAAAACACATTCATTAAAAAGAGGCATTTTGTGACATTAAACATATGCACATGTAATTGCGGAAAAGCGTCGTAATCACAATCGGGTCCGTCGATAAGACCGCTCCCTAACAAGCATCACTTGAGCCATTTTTTTTTTTTTTTTTTTTTTTTTGAAGATGTTGGTTCCAGCAATTACGCATTCTTTTCATTTCCCAAATGATTTGCAAAACTCGTAGAGATTATAATTGCTTTTAGCCACGCATATCTAATTTGTGTCTTTTTAAGTGTTAATTAGTTAGTGATTTGAGCTGACGTCTTTATGTAGTTTGCACAGCTGAAAAATGTTATTGAAGGGAGGCTAATGATTCAGGATGTGTGTGTGTGTGTGTGTGCGCGCACGCGTGTTTTCAGCTACCTAGAATATACGATAAAACATTTAATATAAACATGCACAATATGTGATCTAATGCATGGCTTTAAACCAGACCTATAACATGCTATAACGGACGTGTGAGTGTGTGTGTGACTGTACATATGGTCATGTGAGGGAGAAAGAGACTGATAGGACACCCAGGCGGGGAGAAATTCAAATGAAGGGGGAATTAATGAAGACAACATGTCACATATTTTCACCTGCTCTGAGCAGGAACAGGAAATGAAGATCTGCTCATCTCGGAGGCTGCCGCCCATGTTCCGCATGTCACTGTCCTGTCACGGGCCTGTGTAAAAATGGCAGGCAGTGATACATGCACTCTGTGATAACAGCCCATTCCTATCCATCCATCATTTATACATGCGCGCACATACACACACGTACTTGCTTATTTATTACTCAGGTGTTGTGTGTGACTTTTTATTATAACTAAGCGCCGTGTGACATGTGACATGTTGGTGGAACTTGCAGTTTTCCTTGAGGTAGATGAAAGGGAGAGAAAGAGAGATTTCTGAAAGGAAGAACCATGTTGTTGTGTGATCCTCCAGCATCACCTAGTGCTGCGATTCTGCATAACATCTTACAAGGGCATTTTATGAAGCTCAAAATCATATTTATTTAGCTTTCTTTTTTTACGTAAAAGCATTCAATTCATTGTCTTTATTTTATTTTATTTATTTATTTTAGATTTGATTACTTTAGATGTGATTACTAATGTACTTTTATATAATGTAATTCCCAATCCTCCTATTTTAGTCACTATAAACTATGGTTTTTTTATATAACATGATATAATTATTTACACAACAGGCTATACAGTAATTATATAATAGGCTATATTTATTAATTTATAATAATTATGTATTCAAAATGTAACTGAAGATAAAAGCAGGGGTAAGTGATTGTGTAAATTCTTTATTTTTAATTGAGTGAACTGACACATGATTTCTCTGTGCATAACATAATCCTTTATGATATGTCTTTATTTGAGTTGTGCCTAGTCTTAAATATGTATTTGCACTGTATTTGGACATAATGTCAGGGCCTTTAGATGTAATACATTTATTTATGAGGGAAGGAAAAGGCTTAAATGAGTGAGAAGTCATGAGATATGGTGTTTTGTGGAAAGCTGTTTAGTACAGGTGTGTTAGTTTGCCTTCATGATTCAATGGCTGTTTTTGGTCACGTACACAAGGGGGCGCCATTCAGCAGCATTTACTGGGTAAAGACAAATTTGATCTGTAAGAGGGGTAAAAAAAAACTAAAAAAAAGTGTTGCTATTAGATGAAATTATGGTGACGTTTATGCTGCATTCACTCTAGAAGAGGGAAAAACCAATACAATGCAACACACACAAATATTATCATTGTTAGTAGCATTGTATGTCGACATTGTTTTTTGGGGTTTTTTGCTGTTGAATTGCCAGTCATAATTCTTTTTTTCTGTTTTTTTTTACAGTACAACTATTGTTTCAACAATGAACACAGCGCTGCTGCCTTCCCATGAACCCAGTGACTCTAGAGAGTGAAGATTCACCAGTAACACTGGTATAAGGAAGCAAACAGTGTAGTGAACCCCTCCATTTATTTCATCTAACAATCCAAAGATCAGAGTTTATGCAGACTTAGAGGCCATTTACACGACACAATTTTTAACTAAAAACTGAAAACTTTTTATGCGTTTAGACTGTTCATTTACAAGTCAACAGCGCTTTTGAAAACGGATTTCAAAGTTCAAGTTTTTGAAAATGATATTATTTATCGTCTCCGTGTTAACTATTAAAATGTGAATGTGGAAACGGTGGCGTCATGCGCATGCGTATTACACGTTCAGTCTATAGGCGCCTAGTGTTTCTTTAGTTTAGAAAGTAATATCGCCAACTACTGGCCTGGCAGCATAATACAGCGTTTTTAGTCATTTTTGCAGATCCTTGTGAACAGGGATCATTTTGACAACATTGTTGTCTGTACGCAAAAACAACACAAAGGAAAATTTTTTAGTACATCGTTGTCGTGTAAACGTACCCATAGAGTCCATATATTTCACATCAATTTTATTTACTTTCTTGTTCCTCGTCTTATTGTGAACCATTCAGTTTTCTTTTCCTCCTCCGTGCCATATAAAGATTTTACATGATCAAATGGATAAAAAATCAAGTACATCCAGTATTTTATTTTTTTCTTATTGAATATACTTTTTCAAATGAAAGGGGCTGCAACACTGTTTCTTTTTACTTTAATTTTTGCATATTAATAAATGTTCTCAGGGAGACTTTCAAGAAGTCGCTTCTGTACTTTTTTAAACAGATGGTGTGGTTTTGTTGTTTTAATAATGTAATTTTAATATTATAAACAGCCAAAAAAGCCTTTAAACTACTTCATTATGATTTTCTTTTAAATATTTTTTTATTATTTTGATTTTTAAACAACAGTAACTAGTCCAATTGTACACAAATAGGAATGTCTTACCATGAATGTTGTTTATTCAGTTCTTTGAAAACAAAAAAATAAAGTTGCATTGAGAACTCATTTTAGAATGTATATTCATTTGTACTTTGCACCACAACATACTCAGTGATATATAATTGTTTTTAACTATATGTGGAAGGTGCTTTCATCTTATTGTGTTACTTTTTCTTTTTCTTTTTTTTTTTTCAATTAACCACCCTGAGAAAAAAAATCCCACTCTTATGAGCCTTCGTCCTAGGATTTGTTTTCCGTCTCATTTCTAGTAACTTGAGGTACACTTTATGCTTAACACTGTAAAGCCAGACATATGAAATACAGTAGTTGGCAATAACAGTCATCTAAAACATCCCTCACATCCCTTGGCACAACATTACAGCCCATCAACCTCCATTAATCCCAGAGAAACCCGCTTTTGTGTTTAATTGTACAGAAAAAAGTGTGTTAATGACTTTTAGCTCTCCCAGATGCTTCTCTCTTATTTGTGACCACAGATGCATTTTTGCTGTCTTTGTTCTTGTCACTCTTGCTCTTTTCCCCAGACAAACTAATAGGGGTTTCTAGAGTGTGTGGGTGTCAGAGTCACTGGTGTGTTGATGATTTTAGTAACGCACAGCTGCATCAGGAAACACACATGCACAGGTTCTGTCTCACTGGGCCGTTTAGACATCATGAGCCACGGAGACAGGACGGTCTCATGGCTGTCCTTCCTGTCAACTAACTTCACACTCCTTTGAGAAGGTAGAACATTTAGGCCTGGTTTCACAGACAGGGCTTAGATTAAGCCAGGATTCAATTAGGACATTTAAGTAGCTTTTTTAAATGTGCCTTTAGAAAAAAAAAAACATTACTGGTGACAGTTATCTTATATTACTTTCAGTTAATTTATATATTTTAAGATTTGTCAGTACAAGTCACTTTCTGTTAAAACAAATCAAACATGCATTTTAGTCTGGGACTAGCCTTAAGCCTTGTCTGTGAAACCGGGATTTAGTTTCCCAGTCAACTCATCCACTAACCAAGACATGTCAGGTAAACACAAGCCTACTGTACATCTGGAGCAGTGGTTTTCAAGCATTTTGACTCGAAGACCCCGCTGTTCGACATAAAGGATCAATAATAATAGAAGTGATTTTATCTTAGCACTATTAATTTTTTTAGAAAATGACCGATCGTTTCGTTTCGCTAGATAAGACCCAATTCCTCAGCTGGATCGTGCAGAGCCCTTTGAAACTGTTTGGAACAATTTGGTTACCATTGAAGTCAATTGTGTGGAGAAAAATCCTGAAATGTTTTCCTCAAAAAACTTAATTTCTTTTCCACTGAAGAAAGAAAAATATGAACATCTTGGATGGCATTTGGGGTGAGTAATTTATCAGGAAATTTTCATTTCGAGGTGAACTAATCCTTTAACACCCGGACTCAGGGGCGGATCTACCGGGGTGGCATAGGGTGGCAAATGCCACCCTAAAATAAAGCCTTGCCACCCCTGCTGCCACCCCAGTTGGCGGCAACGAATTAAAAGTTATGGCCAATTTGACAATTTACGAACGCGAATCTCCAATGTCCGACTGCAGTGAATTCGCTCCGTGCATAATATGACGACCGTTGACGTTCGTACTTTATTGTGTGGGCAAATACTTCCGGTGATCTGACCGCGAGAGCGGGAGACAGCGAGAGCAAGAGACAACAGCGACCGAGTTCCATTACCAGAGAGATAAGTTTTCAACCCGACCAAATTTTTAAATGCATATATCATTTTCAGTGTATTTCACCTGTGCGTTTCTATGCTTTATATTACTGCATTTATTTTGTGCAAGTGAGATGAGTAAAGAACATCTGTTTCATATATCATTATCTGTCTGGTGTTTATAAGCAGTAGCCTACAGTATTTTACTACGTGTAAAATATACACAAACTTAGCTATATTAAGTTGTTTGTGTACAGTTAAAAATATAAAGTAAAATATGTGATAATAATATTGATCGAGCAATTGATGTAAGTAAGTAAAAAGGTAACACTTTAGAATACGGTTCCTTCGTTAATTAATAACTACACAGGAACAAATGAGTAACACAATATTAACAATCTAGTAACTACTATTAACTAAAAAGAAATTCTGATTAACAAATTAGTAAGTAATAGCGCAAAGATGAAAGTGGTAGTTCACTATTAACTAATCAATAACTACTTTTTTTAATGCTTCCCAGAGAAGTATTGTAAGAATCATGCTAACTAACTAGTAATGACTCAAGTGTTACTACATACTTCTAAAGGAATGACTAATTATTTGGATCCGTATTCTAAAGTGAAGATCATGGTAACTAACTAGTAATTACTCAAGTGTTACTACATACTTCTACAAGGAATTACTAATTCTTTTAAGCTTTGAGGTTTTTGGTGAAGTTTTAGATAGTAATTACCATAGAAGTATGTAGTAACACTTGAGTCATTACTGGTTAGTTACCATGATCTTCATTTTAGAATACGGATCCAAATAATTAGTCATTCCTTTAGAACTATGTAGTAACACTTGAGTCATTACTAGTTAGTTATCATGATTCTTACATGAAAAGCCAATCCTAAAGTGTAGAATCTTCTAATCCTTCACAAGATATTTGCACACACGTATATGAGCTAGGAGACATAAATAAAAACATATTTTTTTGCGAGGTAGGTTAAATAATAAAATCACTGTATATGATATTTGGATGGCTGATAACTCAATATGTTCCAGCCGTCACCGTGACTATTCCTCTGGACTGGCATTGAATCACTAGAGGACAATTAAGGTCCCGACAACTGCATTTAAAAAGCCATTTCTTTAAAATGATTCAGTTGATAAATAGTTCTCTAGGAGAGAGCATAGGCTAATTATTTCCCAAATCATAAGTCTGCTATGCTATTACATATTGATAAACCTTGTGTATTTGTTTACAGTAGCAGTTATTAATGTTAATGTAGTGCTAGTCATTTGTCCTGCATCAGTTATTGATTAGTTTTGCGTGAATTATTAATCTTTTTCAGTAGTTATCTGGGAAGCATTAAAAAATTGTAGTTATCAATTAGTTAATAGTGAACTACCACTTTCATCTGTGCGCTATTACTTACTAATTCGTTAATCAGAATTTCTTGTTAGTTAATAGTAGTTACTAGATTGTTAATATTGTGTTACTCATTTGTTCCTGTGTAGTTATTCATTAACGAAGGAACCGTATTCTAAAGTGTTACCAGTAAAAATACATGCGCAGAATTAAGAAAATATTATTTAATATTTATGGAGATAAATTTTAGCCTATGATAAAGCAAACGTGTGAATGTTCACAGGGTATTTTATTTAATATTATAACTATTATTATATAGTAGTGTAATGTAGACAGACACTATATCACAACTAAAAAGAGTTTTGAGTTTTTTTTTTGTTCAATTTGCACACTGAATATGGGTTGGAGCTCTTTATTTTGAACTCTCAAAGTGCACCAGATTGATGAATTTAACATTAAAAAGCACAAAATTTTCTTACGGGGGAGCATGCCCCCGAACCCCCCTAGAGGGACAGAGGTGCACTCTGCACTCACCACAGATTTACATGGGAAAAACCGGTATGCAGCTTATAGCTTGTTTTAGGATTCATCACTGTGGAGTATAGTTCAACTGAGTATAGTTCAACTTTTAGTATAGTTCAACCCCCAACCCCCCCCCCCCCCCCCCCCCCCCCACACACACAAAACAGATACAAATAATGCCCTTTTGTAGTGTGTTACACATACGATTTCTCATCAAACTGTGTTAACTGTGATTAAATTCAGTATATATACGTCTGCCATGTTGCCACCCCTCAAAAATTCCTGCCCCCCTCTTGCCACCCCATAAATATTTTCCTAGATCCGCCCCTGCAGCCCAAACCATCACTGATGATCCTTCCCATGCTTCACTCTGGGCAGCAACAGTCCGGCCCGGACTGTTGCTGCCCAGAGTGAAGCATGGGAAGGATCATCAGTGATGGTTTGGGCTGCAATTTCACAACATTCTGTGCTTGATGAGCGCATCATTTCCAAGGACTACTGAACCATTCTGCGGTGCGTTTCCCAAAAGCTTCGTTAGCCAACTACGATAGCAAGTTCCGTCGTTATCAGCATAGTTCAACGAGTCGGCGTTTCCAGAAACCAGTTCCAATGAACATTCGCAAACAGCATCGCAAAGTTGTGTGGTTGGAACGACACCTCTCGAGCTGTGGTTAGAATCATAGTTCTTTGTTTGCATGACATGTGGACTCAATAAATTATCTTGAGCAAAATAAGTATCTTTTATTTAGAATACATACAAAAGACAGTTATAGCTCGTCAAGAGATTTTAAGCGTGCGCACGTGTGAAAGTGCTCTAATAAGCAAGAATGAGTCTATGATTGAATCTGGAAATAAAGCAAAATAGCCTAACTGAGAAAAATGAGAAATAGTCCTCAGATGCCATGTCAGTAATTTATCGCAAAACATCTAGCATTAATTCGATCTCAAACAGATTCATTAAAAGTAGTTATTACTCCAGCACGTACATGACATCATTAACCAAGGTGGTTGAAGGACCACTTTGCGACAGTATATGGTTCCGGCAAACAGTCGTGAGTAGCTGGATGATTTCTTCAATGATGCATTGTACTGTGGTAGTGAAGCAGTGAGTTATTTCGTTGTACAGGAAACGCACCCCTAAAGTATTCTCTACTGTGCTTGATGGGCGCATCACTTGGACTACTGAACCATTCTGGAGGATGTGAACCTAATAGTTCAAACATTGTACCCTGAAGGTGGTGCCATGTAGGCCTACCAGCATGATAATGCACTAATACACATAGCAAAACATGTGACAGAATGGTTTGTTGAACATGAAAGTGAAATTAAACATCTCCCATGGCCTGCACAGTCACCAGATCTGAATATTATTGAGCCACTTTGGGGTGTTTTAAAGGAGCGAGTCAGAAAACGTTTCACATTGTGACCTGGCCACTGTTCTGGAAGAGGAATGGCTCAAAATCCCTCTAGCCACTGCGAAGGACTTGTATCTGTCATTCCCAAGATGAATTGATGCTGTATTGGCTGCAAAAAAGGAGACCCTACACCATACTAATAAATTATAGTCTAAAACCAGGTGTTCGTTTCATTGGCCAACCACTGTGTGTATATATATAGTCATTCTGCTGCAGTCAGGGAATACCAGATTCAGAGACAGAGAGAGTTAGTTCGACCCAAACAGGTATTCATTGACAGAGATGATATGCACAGTTAAGCAGGCGAGTAATGAAGCAGACAGTATAATGAGCAGATGAATACTGACTAACAGGTTCTCTTTCCTTTTTACCAGGGTAACGGGGGGACTGGTGGTGACTGGAGCGTGAAGAGTCGAGAGAGCACACACCTCTTGGCGGAGTAGGGTCAGTAGACAGGTAAGTGTAATGTTCCAAACATTAGCTTACAGGAGTTCACTACAGTATCACAAGGAGATTTCACTGCTAAGTAGTGAAAGCCGTATTGGAGACCAGACAAAGAATGACTGTGAGGTGTGTGCTTTTATTCAGGTCCTGATGAGGGGCAGGTGATTGCCAAGCGAGTAGAGGTGAGGGACAGGAGGGATGCTGGGAAATCTAGTTTTTGACTGGATGACTGGACTGGTGAAGATGGAGAGCATATGTGACAGCGCCTACTTTGAAGTTTACCACAGCCCACTATAATGTAGTGGGGCTTCTTTTTGTGTATATTATTAGTTATCCTAATTAGTATATTGTTATTAACATATGGTATTTAATTGCACATGTATTTATAAATTTTAGATCACCTTCACCATCAGCTATAGCGCTCACTCAAACTTAATCTTTAAAAACACTAATAGCACCGTTAAATGTAATCTTTAGCGAATATCAAAATTAATATCCATTTTCACACTGTACAATATAATGTTGTGACTTGTGGCATTAAAAACAATTAGTTTTTAGTCTTATTTTGAACCCTAATAGAAATAGAATTTTTATATTGGCTTTTATCGATTATGCATCCCTATATTTTATCCACTATGTTAGTAAAGGTGTTTTGTACCAAAAACAGTAATTTAGTTTATCATAACCTTTTTTTAACCCTCCTTATGACCTGTAGAATTTATCAGGCTATATTTTATCGCTGACGGGCAGAAACCTTGTATCTCCAAAAACGCTACTTTTCAAGAAATGGAAAAAAACACTGGATTTAAACACTGCGTTGTCAAAGCTGATATCGTGGCTTTATAATCAGACACTTACCTGTGTCATTATATTATTAACATATGTCATATTATCAAAATCATGCTCAAATGTAGTTAAGCGAATTTCGGACCTGCTTGTTTTGTCCGTCGTTAGATCGGCCGGATCTGAGGCAGCAAGTGCATCGCATTATGTTCATCAACTTCCAGGTTATAAGTTTACTGTTAGCTATGCCATAATTACAGGAATACAGAAAAAAACTGGATGATCGCATAGCTGATATGCGATCATCCAGTTTTTTTTCTGTATTCCTGTAATTTCACCCAAATCTTAAGTTCCTAAAAACAAAGTGCCTCACACAGGCTATTTAAAGGGGTCATATAATGGTACATGCACTTTTACAAGTTGATTGTACTGAAATGTGTGTTGGCAGTGCCTGTACACAACCATCATAAAATGATAAAAATCCATCCAGTGTTTTTGTTTTAATCTCCTTATATGTTTTCCCCTGCCTCAAATTGAGCCGTTCGATTTTGTGACGTCACACGCTCGGAAGCCCCTCCCACGAGTGTTGATTGACAGCATCGTTTCAACACAGACCCGCCCTCGCTTGTGAGCCAGCTGTCAATCATAGTCTGTGCGGACCGGCGTGGTCATTGTTGATATGCTGGAGCACTGTCTATGAGCAGAATGGCGTCTAAGCGATTGTGGTATTCTGTTCTTGGGTGCAATAACGAACACAGCAGTCATTTTAATGTTCCTAAATCCGAACCGCTGAAGACGCAGTGGCTGAGTTTGTTTTCGAAGGGAATATTCCCCACGAGCAATGTCAATGCTCTCATGTTTGCGTGAATCATTTCTCACCAGACTGCTTTATAAACGAGGGTCAGTATAAAGCTGGTTTTGCTACGAAGTTGCTCATGAAAAAAGGATCGGTACCAGCTATTCGTGTTCCTGCTGAACCTCTAAAACAACTGAAGTGAGTGTAACGTTTTATTAACCTTTATATTAATATTAATCTTTGCAAATCGCTAGCTGCACGCTTCACAATGAATGCGTCTAAGGTTTACACTTAGGGTACATTACGGCATGTTTTCTATGTATGATGTTCTCAATATAATTCATAATCCCACGTTTATACTGAACAACGCGTTATGGTTATTGTGTTATTGTGTTACAAACGTGTACGCACAGAACAGAGAGGCGGGGTGAGCAAAGCTCATTATCATTTAAAGTCATATGCACTGAAACGGCGTGCTGAAAACAGAGCTGTTTTTGACCAAGTAAAATAAGTGTTTTCTTACCATACTAATGAGAATTTTTAATTAAAGTATATTACAAACTTTTAATTTAGACCCTAAAGAATCATACTAGCTTGTACAAAAATGGCATTATATGACCCCTTTAAGACAGTATTGGCTAAGACTCGATGACAAATGCTAGACTAAGGCATTCTTCTCCGTTCGTCAAATACATAAAACATTATTAGTAAATTTTATATTGTTTCTTGAGTAAAGAAAATGCTGTACTTGTTCAACCAAACAGTTCTTTATTATTTACTCTTGCACCACAAACAAGAAGAGACCGTCCAAACTGCGTGCGGCAGTTCGTTCACGATAAAGGCATGTGGAGTTGAGGTTTGACTGGCAATTTGAGGAGCCAATGGAGTTAAAGCAGCACTAAGTAGGAATTCTGTTTTTGTCAAACAGCGACCCCTAGAGTCGCTGTGGAGTACTTGTACTGTCGTGAATAGCACTCACGCAGAGATGGCTCGCACTCACGGCCGGATCCCCTCCCCCTGTACACCGGTACCTGTTCAGTATGGACGCTGTAACGAGTGGAAATAAGGTATGGCCCCTTTAAGAGCTGCGTGCGCCCTGTTTAACTGTCGGCAATCTGTATTGTATGTGCGCCTCGAACACCACATGTATACGGCGCCGGGTTATTTCTGTTTGATGCTCATTTTATCAGAATTTTATCAGATCTGTTTTTTGCCGTAAAGCAGGGGTCTCAAACTCAACTTAACTGGGGGCCGCTGGAGGTAGAGTCTGGGTCAGGATGGGCCGCATCAAGTATTCCACAAAAAATAGTATTCAAGTATTCCAAAAAAGGAGCACAACTGATCCAATCTTCTCAATCTTTATTATTAACGTTTCTTCTGAACTGTTCCTCTGAATTTGAACATTCCTTTCTGTACATGATTGGTTCTTCATGAGCTGTCCGTCTGACAGTTGAAGTTCATTTTACAAACTTTCTTTGTCTATAACACATATTTGTAATATTTATATTTGCTTATGTCCTTTTTATTTTCTTTATACAACACATTAATGATATTGAATGTTTTTTTTGGAAGGCACATTTCCTTTTATTATATACTTAGAAAAACAATTATTGCTTTTGAAATACAAATATTTGCAGTCATGTCTGCCCGTCTTATTGAATTCTTTTTACACATGTATAGTGTCTCAGGCAAATTACTGACTGCACAAATCAAAGCAAACCTTCTTATCAACCTGTTAGACACATATTACAAGCTCAAAATGATTATTCTCACATTGTTTTAAAGCAGGGTCTCTCTCCAACACGTCGCTCGCGAGCTACCAGTAGCTCGCGGCCTGGTTGGTGGTAGCTCGACAAGGGGCAGTTCACATATCGCGCTCACATATTTTGCGAGCTCAAGTTCGTTATTTCAAATGTAGGTGCGCGTGCGCGGCAAGCGCGCTCATAATTGAAGCGACGCGCTCATTTTTTCCAGGCGCGCAGTATTTAGCGGTTGTCTATGGCAACTATTGACAACAAACCCACCGTATGGTAGCCCATTTAAAACGCGGCACACGCAACGACGGGCCGCACTAACATTACACTTTAATGTCAAGTAGGGGGCCACAAAATATCACCCCGCGGGCCGCAAATGGCCCGCGGGCCGCGAGTTTGAGACCCCTGCCGTAAAGCAATTCGTTACCTCGCGAGACCTGATATTACAAGATACTTCCTAACACTGAGTCCGGCGGCCCGCCGGCGCAAAGTTGCAAGGGTGGTTTTGCGGCTCACAGGCACCAGGGGGGTGCGAGACGACCACCATTCAACACGAAATCAGTAATATAAACATTACAATGACTCCAAAGCTGTTCGGTTAAGGCAGTGGTTCTCAACCCTGTCCTGGCGTACCCCCAACACTACACGTTTTCCTTGTCTCCCTAATCAAACACACCTGATTCAACTCATCAGCTCATTAACCCATGTGATAATGAGCTGATGAGTTGAATCAGGTGTGTTTGATTAGGGAGACAAGGAAAACGTGTAGTGTTGGGGGTACGCCAGGACAGGGTTGAGAACCACTGGGTTAAGGTAAAAAAAGTTACTTAGTTCACCTTTAAGAGGTTTCGTGAAAGCTCTTTTTAATACTTTTCATTGGTTAAGTTTTTGCAAATCCCACAGAAACATATAAAGGCTGACCAATAGTAATGATTCATGAAAATAAATAAAAACGATGAAATATGGAGATACAAGGTTTTTGCCCATGCAGCAGCAACGATTTGCTTCTGTACCTTTAAGAATCTTACATTTTCTCTATTATGTTTGGTTAACTATGTATGAGTCTTGTTCACACTGTTGCAGAGTACTAGTGATGATGAGTAATAGGTGGTCATCATAATTTAATGTACTCATAGTTATGTCAGTGGTCCCATAACAACTTTTTTTTTCTTACTCTGTGGTGAAAATATAACGCTCTTATTGCAATGAAATAAGTGCAATGAAAATCCAGTCAACAGTCACCTCGCCATGGACCCTCACCTCCAGATGGGGCTGAATATGGGGTCTTTCTCAGAACCACATCTCCCACCCACACCATCACTGCCTCTTCAAACAACCACCTCACATGGTTTTACTTTCAGCCGTGCTATGGCTTTATGATAGGGAAAATAATAATAATATCCTGAGACCGCACTGTAAAATGAAAAGGACTGGTTCTCTCATTGGTCAGAGCGTTTAGTGTGATTAATCCATGTGTGTTTGAAGGGAATGGTTTGGCATGAAATATAGAGGCGAACTATTCTCGGCTAGTCTATTTATCTTTATGCTTGTAATTAGAAAACAAACCCCTTATATATATATATATATATATATAGGTCTAGTTGATCAATGAGCACATTCATTATGAGAAATTGGTTTGTTTCTGTTTCTTGTTCTCTCTGTATCATTCTGTATTATGTATATAGAAGATGGAGAGAGAGAAAGAGATGAGAGGTTTGTCAGACCATGGCTCGGTGTGCATGAACGGACAGGACTGTGTTTTTGTAGGCCGCTGATATAGTCATCTGCTTCCAATGTAGAGAAGAGCAGAGGGAGCCATCCATCGCTGGGCACGTGGACTCAGCCTTGTTAGTCTCTCTTTTCTTTTCACAGACACTCACACACAAAGTAAGACATAGACGAATACAT